CAGATAGAAGACTGAAGGGGAGGACGGAGGTCAGATAGAAGACTGAAGGGGAGGACGGAGGTCAGATAGAAGACTGAAGGGGAGGACGGAGGTCAGATAGAAGACTGAAGGGGAGGACGGAGGTCAGATAGAAGACTGAAGGGAAGGACGGAGGTCAGATAGAAGACTCACATCAGCCGAGGTGTACTCTATCTGGTCACAAAGGGGTTAATCGAGCTCCAGAATTCCCTATGAGTGCTCGCAGGTCAATATTATAGAACAATAGGTGTCATCTGTACAGCACCACGGTATGTGTCAGAGACATACAGAGGAATGATATACATCCCTATATTAGCAGAGCGTGTAGTGGGATCTTCCCGAGATAGAAGACGTCACAGTGACTATGGGGGGGACCAAAGCACATCTAGTGGGGGGAGGAGGTCACCGGGCGTAGATATCAAATAATGTCTCATTACCTCCTCTGCTGCCACTTCCAGCAATGTCCCCTTTCTACTTCCTGCCAACTCTCACCTGGAACTTCCTGTTTATATGTGACATCACTTCCTGTCTGTGCGTTCAGACTGTAAGAGTCCCGCCAAGAGAAGAATAGATGGGATTCCTCTATATAGATCTTTATTATCACTGGAGGGATCCCCAGCAGGAGGAAGGAGGTCCTGATCCCTCTATATAGATTTATCACTGGAGGGATCCCCAGCAGGAGGAAGGAGGTCCTGATCCCTCTATATAGATCTTTATTATCACTAGAGGGGTCCCCAGCAGGAGGAAGGAGGTCCTGATCCCTCTATATAGATCTTTATTATCAGTAGAGGGATCTCCAGCAGGAGGAAGGAGGTCCTGATCCCTCTATATAGATCTTTATTATCAGTAGAGGGATCTCCAGCAGGAGGAAGGAGGTCCTGATCCCTATATATAGATCTTTATTATTACTAGAGGGGCCCCCAGCAGGAGGAAGGAGGTCCTGATCCCTCTATATAGATCTTTATTATCACTAGAGGGATCCCCAGCATGAGGAAGGAGGTCCTGATCCCTCTATATAGATCTTTATTATCACTAGAGGGATCCCCAGCAGGAGGAAGGAGGTCCTGATCCCTCTATATAGATCTTTATTATCAGTAGAGGGATCCCCAGCAGGATGAAGGAGGTCCTGAGTCCTCTATATAGATCTTAATTATCACTAGAGGGATCTCCAGCAGGAGGAAGGAGGTCCTGATTCCTCTATATAGATCTATCACTAGAGGGATCCTCAGCAGGGGGAAGGAGGTCCTGATCCCTCTATATAGATTCAATAAACTCCAACATGAAGAACCGATTTTATTTTCTCCTCAAACATGTTACAGAATGACAACGTTTCGGGAACAGAGGCCCCTTTGGTCAAGAAGACACCCTGGAGCCCATGGTACTGGTTCTAAAGAGGTCCTCTGGATTTTGTCCACCTTCTCCAAGCTCTTCCACTGGTGATGGAGGAACATGCGAGGAGCCACCTCTGTCTCCTCAATACAGGCCAAGAACCGTCACAAGGACGTGCCACGGAGAAGTAGGCGTGGTCAACGCCTGGTGACCTTGCAGGATGGACGCTCTGCGCCCCGAGTGTTGGAAGCGGTGTAACCTCAACGCCCAATTTTGGGTCAATTACTCTAGGTTGTCCGTAAATTATTTGCACCTTGGTGTTACAAGTGCCGTGTTGGTGCTTGTGGATGACACAGTAAGGTGTGTGGACCACAATCCTTCCATCAGGCTTCCAATTTACAGCAGCCAGGGTACGCGGCCAATAAACTTCCCTATAGGCAAAAAAAATGTAACATACAATTTAGGAGTGGAGTTTAAGTGATGAGGGAGCAGAACCTGGAAATCTTGGTGTTCTCCGCCTATCGGCACTTAGGCAAGTTTCATCCTTGCATGAAGGCGGCTCCTAAAACATTTGCCTCCACCATCAGCTATCGTGTTATCTCAGATGTCTAATGAGGTGCTCTTTCCGCGTGTAACCTTTCCCACACTCCGAACAAGAAAAAGGCTGCTCGCCCATGTGACATTTCTGGTGCCTAAGAAGCTTTGTTTTCTCTATGAAGCGCTTCCCACACTCAGCACAGGGGAACCGCTTCTCCCCGGAGTGGTGTTTCAGATGGATGGTGAGGTGTCCTTTTTGGGAAAAACATTTCCCGCACTGAGAACACAAAAAGGGCTTTTCCCCGGTGTGACTTCTTTGGTGGATGATGAGTTTTGGTTGGCTTATGAATGACTTCTTACATTCGGAGCACGAGAACGGAAGCTCGCCGGTGTGTCCTCTCTGGTGGCTAAGGAGATGTCCTTTCTCTATGAAACATTTCCCGCATTCTGGGCAGGAAAACGGCTGTGCGCTAGTATGGCACTTCATATGCTTATTGAGTTTTCCTTTATGTGAAAAGCATCTTCCGCACTGGGGACAGGAAAAGGGCTTTTCACGAGTGTGAACACTCTGATGTACAATAAGTTCCTCTTCCCATATGAAGGATCTCTCACACTCTGAGCAGGTGAAGGTCTTCTCGCCCGTGTGATCTCTCTGGTGAACGCTCAGCTCAGAGATGGACCTGAAGGACTTTTCACACTCGGAACATGGAAAAGTGAAAGTCTCTCCCCATTCTGAACCCATAAATGTCTGATCTCCATTATGATTAGAAGATTCTACAAGATCAGAGCAATCCGCGTGGTAAAGACTGCAATGTAAGCTCTGAGGAACAGGGGATCCTGGAGAACATTGTACCACGTCAGGAACTTCTGCACTATGACTAGGAGAGGAAAGGAGGTGTGCCATTGAGGAAGAACCATCTGTGGGCGAGAACATGTGTATCACTATAAAAAGCACGTTCAGACTTTCATAGGTCATCTATCTAGTCTACTAGACCTTCCATATGGTGTCCAGTATCTCCTCCTCATTTGTTGGGGACATGACGTTATATTGAGGAATGGAGATGGACCTTCATATGGTGTCCAGTATCTCCTCCTCATTTGTAGGCCACATGACTTTATATTGAGGAATGGAGATGGACCTTCATATGGTGTCCAGTATCTCCTCCTCATTTGTAGGCCACATGACTTTATATTGAGGAATGGAGATGGACCTTCATATGGTGTCCAGTATCTCCTCCTCATTTGTAGGCCACATGACTTTATATTGAGGAATGGAGATGGACCTTCATATGGTGTCCAGTATCTCCTCCTCATTTGTAGGCCACATGACTTTATATTGAGGAATGGAGATGGACCTTCATATGGTGTCCAGTATCTCCTCCTCATTTGTAGGCCACATGACTTTATATTGAGGAATGGAGATGGACCTTCATATGGTGTCCAGTATCTCCTCCTCATTTGTAGGCCACATGACTTTATATTGAGGAATGGAGATGGACCTTCATATGGTGTCCAGTATCTCCTCCTCATTTGTAGGCCACATGACTTTATATTGAGGAATGGAGATGGACCTTCATATGGTGTCCAGTATCTCCTCCTCATTTGTAGGCCACATGACTTTATATTGAGGAATGGAGATGGACCTTCATATGGTGTCCAGTATCTCCTCCTCATTTGTAGGCCACATGACTTTATATTGAGGAATGGAGATGGACCTTCATATGGTGTACAGTATCTCCTCCTCATTTGTAGGTCACATTACTTTATATTGCGGAATGGAGATGGACCTTTCATATGGTGTCCAGTGTCCCCACTTCTCCACTCTCTCCAAAACTACAAATTTACTTTAATTTGTCAAGTGAAATTGATGTACTCTTAACCTGATGATGTGAGAGGCAGGTGATCCTCCATGACGTCCTTGTAGAGATCCCGGTGTCCTTCTATACACTCCTCTGTCACATCGTCCTCATCTGTATCATCGGTAATCTCTTCTTTGACAATAACATTGAAATCAGTCAGACTTCCACTCTGAATGTATAAGAAAAAATTTTTGTAACAAGGCAGCCGTTATACGGGACGAAACATGAGTTACATTGAGTGTTCAGCTTCTACCTGACAATGCTGTGGGACCTTCTGATCCTCCATCACGACGTCCTTGTAGAGATCCCGGTGTCCTTCTAGATACTCCCACTCCTCCATGGAGAAATAGACAGAGACATCCTGACACCTTATAGGAACCTGACACACACAATGATACATTCACCACCCAGACACACCCCTTGTCTGTTCCTGGATCATGTCCCAGAATCCCCGGCACCGCTCACCTCTCCCGTCACCACCCAGACACACCCCTTGTCTGTTCCTGGATCATGTCCCAGAATCCCCGGCACCGCTCACCTCTCCCGTCACCACCCAGACACACCCCTTGTCTGTTCCTGGATCATGTCCCAGAATCCCCGGCACCGCTCACCTCTCCCGTCACCACCCAGACACACCCCTTGTCTGTTCCTGGATCATGTCCCAGAATTCCCGGCACCGCTCACCTCTCCCGTCAGCAGCTCCATCATCTTCTTGGTGACTTCTAGAATCTTGTAGTTTCTATCAGGTGAGTGAGGTGGGGATGCTGTAATGGTGGACGGATCATGGCGAAGGATATTGGGTCTCAATCGGTCATCAGATGTCTTCTTCACTAGTTCATAATCCTGTGAAGGACAAGGCAGTGAAAATTATCACAAAATACATTCCCAGAATCCTCCTCACCCCTTCGGTCAGGTCTGTGTGTTATGAATAGAGATCAGAGTGATGTCATGTGACCTCCCAGAATCCTCCTCACCTCTCCGGTCAGGTCTGTGTTTTATGAATAGAGATCAGAGTGATGTCATGTGACCTCCCAGAATCCTCCTCACCTCTCCGGTCAGGTCTGTGTTTTATGAATCGAGATCAGTGATGTCATGTGACCTCCCAGAATCCTCCTCACCTCTCCGGTCAGCAGGTAGATGATCTCAAGGGTAAGGGCCAATATCTTCTCAGTCATGTACCTCCGCTCTCTGCCCATCATTCCGTTGGCCATGTGATCTGCATAGGACGCTCCTCCCTGTAGATGGATAACACACTGAGAATTATATGCACTGGGGGGCTCTGGTGACACGGTGAAGAATGCTTCCTATGGTACGGTATAGTAGTGGTCACCAGTAAATGGAGTTGGTGATTTTGTTCTTATATACGGTATTGTCTGCCTCATTTACCAAGTGAAGAGCTAATGTAGCCATCAACAACCAACCATCAACAAACAACCAACCATCAACAAACAACCAACCATCAACAAACAACCAACCATCAACAAACAACTATCAACAACCAACCATCAACAAACAAGCAACCAACCATCAACAAACAACCAACCATCAACAAACAACCAACCAACCAAACATCAACAACCAACTATCAACAACCAACCATCAACAAACAAACAACCAACCATCAACAAACAAACAACCATCAACAACCAACCATCAACAACCAACCATCAACAACCAACCAACCATCAACAACCAACCAACCATCAACAACCAACCAACCAACCACAAACAAACAACCATCAACAACCAACCAACCATCAACAAACAACCAACCATCAACAACCAACCAACCATCAACAAGCAACCAACCATCAACAAGCAACCAACCATCAACAAATAACCAACCATCAACAACCAACCAACAAACCATCAACAAACAACCATCAACAACCAACCAACCATCAACAAACAACCAACCATCAACAACCAACCATCAACAAGCAACCAACCATCAACAAGCAACCAACCATCAACAAATAACCAACCATCAACAACCAACCAACCAACCATAAACAACCAACCAACCATCAACAAACAACCAACCATCAACAACCAACCATCAACAACCAACCATCAACAACCAACCAACCATCAACAACCAACCATCAACAACCAACCATCAACAACCAACCATAATGTTCCGTTACTGCTCGGTGTTTGGCTCTTAAGGACATGCAGAACTACTGAACCGTTCCGAAACGATGTGCACAAAAATGTTCTGTAATGCATTATCTACCAGAAAGTTGTCTCGTTAGGTAGTCAATCCCCATTGGGTTGGACCAGGCTCGAACAAAAAAGCTGAGCACTGTTCTGGACAGGTCCTCGTTAGCCCTCACCCTTTTGGGAAAGTTCCTTCTTCTGTGGGAAGATCCCCTGGTGTGCAGGCCATGTCCCTGTTCAGAGGCACCAGGGTTGGAACCTAAGCCTAGAAAACTTGACCCTCTTACGGGCTGCGTGTCTCAAAGTGCCCTCTGCTGGAACAGAGTATCGGAAGAGGTTCCCGTTTCATGGAAGACTGGTTCCATGGGTAGCTGTGTGCTCCTGGATGCTGAGACCTACCCGGAGACTGCCAACCAGAGAAGCCTTAGCATCCCTTGGTGTGCCGGGGACCTCCTGAGATTACCCTGAGTTCCGTGTGATCACCACGAGCACTACCAACATTGAAAGACCGCAGACCGTGCCGGTGGTTTTTGGAAACCACTGGAAGGGATTTGGGTATTCCGCCTCCTCATTCCTCTCCATTCTAGTTCTGCATTAAGTTTCTTGGAACGACAGACCTGTATCATTGCAAGCATCCATAATAAGTGTACCTGCCATGGAACACGAAGTTCTTGGAAGGAGGTCCCACTAGCAAACCCCAAGACCCTTCCAAGTGGAGGAAGTGGACGGAGAGAGTTCAGGGGTGGTCCGAATCTCCAACTGTGGAGGTCCTATCTCCTGGGCTCCATGGGTGGTATAGAGCGGTATACGTGGTCAGAAGAAGGTCATCTCACGTGACACCCAACCAGAACATGGTGACGCCATTGTTGTAGATCATTGACCGACGAATGATTGCCATTTTCCATGTTGGTTTTCTCATACAGTCTGACCTCGGGTATGCCCGTGAAAAGCAATATGGCGGCCGCTGTCCACAGAGCTGATCCCAGAGCTACAGCATGGCCTTGCCTAAGATCATGATGGGACATTAGAGTGTAAGCTCCTCTGGTACAGTGGCTGATCTAACTGGCTCAACACCATAGATTATGTCAGACAGAAAGAAGATAAATCCATATTTTACTTCCGGAACAGTGAATACGTTGAGTATGGCGGACAAGGACGGACATAACGGGGGGGGGGGTTACTATAAAATAATATCTTATTACCTCCTCTGCTGCCAGTTCCACCAATGTCTCCTCTCTACTTCCTCCCAACTCACCTGAAAGTTTTTTTATTTATATATGACATCACTTCCTGTTTACACCTTACATCACTTCCTGTTTACACCTTACATCACTTCCTGTCTCAAGATCGGCACCTTGTAGAGAAAAAAGGTACTGCAACTCTCTGAGTATTAACATTACGATGATCCGCTCTTTGATGTCCATTTTTTTCCGGTTGCCCTCCACATATTTATTGTGTAGAACCCGTTATGGCCCCTCCTTATCGTCTATGGTCATCGTCATACAGGAATCATAGAGCGGCGACAGTTTGGGAGGACGGTATGGTTAGGAGGACCCAACCCGTGAGAGCTTACAATCTTAAAGGGAAGGACGAGTGCTACAAAAGGCGTTCATTGTGAGGGATGAGTTGACGGGAGAAGGTAGAAGTTCCGTTGTTTGGTGGAGGTGGGATGAGGTTTCAGGGATCACCTAAAGCTGGACAGATTAGGAGGTAGCCAGACAGATTGGGGTAGGGAGTTCCAGAGGAAGGGGGAGGCTCTGGAAATCTCCTGGAGGTGAGCATGGGAGCTGGAGGTTTCAGGAGCGATGAGGACGGAGGTGGTGATGCTTTGAGGTTAGGTTGGTGATGTAGCCGAGAGCAGAGTTGTGGATGGCTTTGTATGTTGTATTATAAAATATATTTGTTGGGTTAATGGAAGCCAGTGGAGGGATTGTCAAAAGGGGGCGGAGGATGGAAGCCAGTGGAGGGATTGGCAGAGAGGGGGATGGAAGCCAGTGGAGGGATTGGCAGAGAGGGGGATGGAAGCCAGTGGAGGGATTGGCAGAGAGGGGGATGGAAGCCAGTGGAGGGATTGGCAGAGAGGGGGATGGAAGCCAGTGGAGGGATTGGCAGAGAGGGGGATGGAAGCCAGTGGAGGGATTGGCAGAGAGGGGGATGGAAGCCAGTGGAGGGATTGGCAGAGAGGGGGATGGAAGCCAGTGGAGGGATTGGCAGAGAGGGGGATGGAAGCCAGTGGAGGGATTGGCAGAGAGGGGGATGGAAGCCAGTGGAGGGATTGGCAGAGAGGGGGATGGAAGCCAGTGGAGGGATTGGCAGAGAGGGGGATGGAAGCCAGTGGAGGGATTGGCAGAGAGGGGGATGGAAGCCAGTGGAGGGATTGGCAGAGAGGGGGATGGAAGCCAGTGGAGGGATTGGCAGAGAGGGGGATGGAAGCCAGTGGAGGGATTGGCAGAGAGGGGGATGGAAGCCAGTGGAGGGATTGGCAGAGAGGGGGATGGAAGCCAGTGGAGGGATTGGCAGAGAGGGGTGGGGGATGGAGGCCAGTGGGGGGATTGGTAGAGAGGGGCGGGAGATGGAATGTCCTCTCCACTTTGAAGGTTATATTTGACCATGAATGATGTGAAAGGAACCAAAACATTCCTCACCCTCGTTGCCAAGCATGGATAAGCTGTGATCTGCTCACAGCAAAACTGCATGGAGTGTGCATGTTCTAACTGGACTTGTGTGTGCTTACTCTGGGCACTCCGGTTCCCTCCCACACTTCATTGTCATGCTGGAAGGTTAATTGGCTCCTGTCTAAATTGGCCCTAGTATGTATGTATGTATGTGATATAGGGACCTTAGATTATAGGCTCCTGGGTGGACACGGATGAGTCTGTGAGGGGCCACCTACATTGTTGGCGCTGTCTGCAACAAGTAAACAAAAATCTATAACCAAATCCAAGCCAGACCCATACTAGCCGTCATTTGGTTCGGCCTGCTTTACGTGGTCCCCGATCCCCACCCAAGCATCCCATGGGGCCACTAAATCTGGGGAGGAACAGAGTCTTCCACGGCCACCCTTGGGCTAGTCAAAGACAAGAGATGGATGATGGTAGATCTGACTGTGAAGAAGTCTCCTAATAACCACCCACTATGGTTCTGGCTGAGGGTCCATGGTTATGCTTGGAGCAGCCCCCCCCTCCCCCCCCCACTGTCATTTGGTTTGGCCTGGTTTATGTGGTCCCTGATCCCAAGCCAAGCATCCCATGGGGCCACTAAATCTGGGGCGGAACCGAGTCACCCACAGCCACCTTTGGGCTAGCCCCAGACATGACGTATAGCATGGTAGATCTGTCTGTGAAGAAGTCGTTCTCCAACCAAGCACTATGGTTCTGGCTGAAGATCCATGTTTATGCTCTGAGCAGACTTCCCCCATCATTTGGTTCGGCCTGCTTTATATGGTCCCCCATCCAAGCATCCCATGGGGGCCACTAAATCTGGGGAGGAACTGAGTCATCCGTGGCCAACCTTGGCCTAGCTCCAGACATGAGATGGAGGATGATAGATCCGTCTATGAAGAAGTCTTTGTCCAACAACCCGCTATGGTTCTGGCTGAGGGTCCATGTTTATGCTCTGAACAGACCCCCCCCCCCCCATACTCCTGTCATTTGGTTCGGCCTGGCATATGTGGTCCCCAATCTCCATCCAAGCATCCCATGGGGCCACTAAATCTTGGGAGAAACGGAGTCATCCACGGCCACCCTTGGGCTAGTCAAAGACACGAGACAGAGGATGGTAGATCTGTCTGTGAAGAAGTCTTTCAATAACCACCCACTATGGTTCTGGCTGAGGGTCCATGGTTATGCTCTGACGCGACCCCCCCGCC